GACTCAGCCCTTCTTTCTCCCAGCATTCAGTTTAGTTTTCCCTGCCTACCTAAGTTCTGCCCTATTGACAGGCCAAGGCAGTCTCTTTATTCACCAATGTTATTCACAGCATACAGAGGGGAATCCCACATCACCCAAGGCCTCATTCATGCTAGGAACTCCACTAACAAGGTACAGTTCCCATCCCACTTTAGTTTGATAAGCCTGTTCACAATGTGTCTGCTCCAAGACCCTTTTCAATAATGACCTGGTATGTTATTAACCTTCCATCACTGGCAAATGCCTGACAGAACAAGGTAAAAAGATAAAAGATTTCTAAGCTGGGTGGTGGGTAATTCCAGCACTCAGGAGGCAGAGGCAGGCGGATCTCTATGAGGCCAGCCTGGTCTACAAAGTGAGTTCCAAGACAGCCAGAGATACACAGAGGAAACCCTGTCTCGAGAAAACAAACAAACAAAAGACAAAAGATTTCTTTTCCATTAGGGTTTCAGGTTTCAGTCCATAGTCAATCCATCCCATGGCTGTAGTCCTGCAGACAGGACAGTAGAGCAGAGTAGGGTTGCTTACCTCAAGGACACCAGCAAGCATTAAGAGAAAAAAGTTCTGTGCTTACTCCTGCTTGTCTTTTCATTCCATCTGGGTTCTCAGACTACTGGATGACATAACAACATTCAGAGCAGCTGCTCCCCATCGCCTCTAGCAATACCTTCACAAGTGCATCAGAAATGTACCTTACAAACGTCCTCAGTATTTCTCAGTCCAAGAACCTAGATTAACTGTCACAACTCCACCCTCTGTCAACTTGACACCCAAAAACACATGCACCCCCACCCTGTTAAGCCACATCTCCTAAAACCATACCTAATTTCCAAAGGAAGTGACAAGGCCATACATATTTCATAAAACCATCCTATGTAGACCCCTAAATACGTTAGTTCATTTCCCCAAATTCCTGACAGCTCCAGCACTGATCAACAGACAAGTACAAAGTTTCTTAAGACTCAAGGCAAACTCTCACCTGTGAGTCCCTATAAGGCCAAAAAGAAAAGTTTTACTCAAGGCAGAGTAAAGACTTCTATTCCCAAGACAGCACATGGAAAGGTCGGAGGATACCAAAGTAAGATGGGAATCAGCATGGCAATTGTAAGCTCCTGTAGCTCCATGGCTGGCATTCCAGACATGTAGTACCATGATCTGGGTGCCAAAATGCTGGGGCAGCCACACTGCGGTCACATGACTCTTACAGGCTGATCCTGCTCACTGACTAGAGCTTTCCTTGGCAGACAGTCTCCATTGCTAGCATCTTCAGCTTCTTAAGGTCTCTATTCCATCACAGCTCTCCCAAGGGCTACATCCAAGTACTCTTACCACTGTCATACATCATCTGGCCTCCCCAACACTCCTTTGAAATCTGAGTAGAAGCCTCTATGACCTGCCTTGCAAAAACAACATCAGACTGAAGACAGAAAGGTCTGCCAGTAGCTTAAACTATACCCAGTTCCCAGTGTAGACAAAATCTACTTAATGTTCTCTAGTCTAGTTCCCATTTCAATATCCCTGAGCACAGTATTTACTCTCTGGGTGTCTATAGTCATTCTGGTCTTCTGAGCCCCTCCAACAGAATCACCCATAAGTATGTTAAGCTGTGCTAGCCTATGAGTACATGGATAACTGAGCAAGGCTGGAGGAATTCAAGTACACCATGACTATATTACAGCTTGGTAGATCAGTTCTTGCCTAACATGCACAAGGGCCAAGGTTTGATCTCTAATCTCTAGCACAAAACAAACAAACAAACTTGGGGGAAAATGCCATAGGTCATCTTGCAAAAGGGTACCTCTGCAGGTCAATCTTTTAATTCATCTTTTCAGTGACCTTAAACCTTTATACTTTTTTTTTTTTTGAGACAAGGTCTCTCTACATAGCTCCAACTATGCTGGAACTCACTCTGTAGATCAGGCTGGCCTCAAACTCACAGAGATCAGCCTGTCTCTGCCTCCCAAGTGCTGGGATTAACACCAGGTTATATACTTGATTGTAGGATGGGTGGGTTTTCCCTAATCACTGAGGTACCCTCAAGACACCTTATCTACTGACCAGGTACATACAATGGTGCTAATTTCTAATGATTATCAACTTATTAGTCCCAACTTTAAATGTGACTTTTTTTAGACAGTTTTTTTTCTTTAAATGCTCATTGTAAATCTGGCTAAAATGGTTTTTTATACAGCAAGACCCCTGTGAAAGACCAAATTCATTTTCTAAGAGATTGGAAAGACTGTAAAAAACCACAGGGCCATGAAATCCACTGTCAAACTGTGTCTTCTAATTATGACAGAGAAGCTATACCATTGAAATGTCTACAATATGGCTACTTAAACAAGATCTGAACAATTCCAGCACCAGCTGACATACTAGTGTGAATGAGGGAAGTTCACAAGGCCAACTCATAAAGGAACTACAAGCAATTTACAAATGCTGAGAGAGGAAGAATTAGTCTTCCCCAGGGAAAGGCCCCTAACTGACTATCCAATACAAGTGGCCAGTCCTAGAATCATATAATATAAGCAACACTAAACAGACTCAGTAAATTTTGCATTTATGTTTCTGTGTGTGTGTGTGTGTGTATAACTCTCTCTCTCTCTCTCTCTCTCTCTCTCTCTCTCTCTCTGTATAACAATAATAATTAAAGAAAAACAGCACATGGATTTGAGAGGAAGCAGGAGCTAAGGGACATGAGAAAAGTTAAAAAAGAAGAGAAAAAGAAATTATATTTTAATTAAAAACAAAATTCTTTCAGACTACTCAACCTTTGAACTCAGCTCTTAGAGCACAGACACAAGATAGACAAGTTCTTTGCCATAATAGATCATGAATGGAACAGCGCTCTAATCTAATCCCCATAGAACCCTTGATCCCATCTGCGATCTCATGAGCACAGTCTCCACTCTGCATTCCTAGTCTTCTGAGCTCCCACCCACCACAGTCCTCATTAAACTCTACACACAGTATTGTCCAGTTTTCCAAATTCTTCCTATAAACTAGTTCCAAAGGCTTACAAACCACACGGCCAGGTTTCATCACAGCAATGGCCCTGCTCCAGCACCAGCTCTCTGTGTAAAGCCCAGTATTTCTATTGCTATGACAAATACCTGAGGGAAAAAAAAATCAAAAGGAGGAAAACTCCTTTTGACTCAATTTCACAGACTTCAGTCCATGGTCACCTGGCTCATTGTTTGTGGCTATCTTAGATCTCACTATGCAGAACAAGCTGGCCTTAAACTCACAGAGATCTGCCTGCTCCTGCCTTCCAAGGGCTGGGATTAAAGTGTTTTAAATGTCTATCAGCTCCTTGTTGCCTACAGGTCAACTTTTAGGCCATAAAATGTTAAGTCTGAAACTGACCAGACTGCCTTGCAATTTATCACCTGGTTTTAATAGATTATGGCAAAACTAAAACTTCAACTTTGTGTTGTTCAGTATAATAATCCAGCCTTACAATTAAACTCTTTCCTACCACATTCTGGTTGCTCAGTATTAAATACAAGCCAACTCTCCCAGTTTTCAAAAACAGCCACAGATATTCAGAATTCCTTAACACACATTAGCACGCAGGCAATATGACACTGGACCAGCTATTCAACCTCTTGAACAATAGTAATACCTGCTGATAGGCCTGGGAAAGGAGAAGTAAGTGGGACTCAAACGGCTATGTGCCTGCTAGCAAACACCAAATATCCAAAACATACTAGCTGTCATTGATCAGCATTATTGCTTTATTATTTTAAAATACAAAGATATGGAAGCCCAAAATTTTACAAGTGACAGAACAGAACTAGTTTTATGGGCAATGAAATAATGTATGCTATCCAACTGTAAAACTATCTCAAAATAATATTATAGGGACTAGAGAGGTGGCTTGGCAGTTAAAAGCACTTGTTGCTCTTACAGATGACCTTGATTCAGGTTCAGCATCCACAAGACAGTTTACAGTGGTCTGTAACTCTAGTTCCAGGGGATCTGGCACCCTCTTCCAGCCTCCAGGGAAATCTGTCCCACACATGCTACGCAGATATACATGCAGGCAAAACACTTGTACATATAAAATAAAATAATCTGTGAGAAAAATATAGTCTCCTCCAATAGTAAAATAAAATATAATTAGTTTTTCCTAAGTAGCAATAAATCATACCCAAACTAATTAGAAATACTTCAACTTAATATCTATCTCCAATTATAAATTATTATATACACAATTTTCTCCAAGATTCTTACTATGTTATAAGCATATGCATTAAAGTAGACCTTTTGGTTTGGTTTGTTTAAGACAGAGTCTCCCTATGTAGCCCTAGCTGCCCTGGAACAAACTCTGCAGACCAGGCAGGCTCAAACACAGAGATACACCTGCCTCTGACTCCCAAGTGCTGAGATTAAAGGCCTGAGACATCATGTCCAGCTGAAGCAGACTTTTAAATACAAAATTAAAAGGAAACCAGTGAGATGCTCAATGGGTAAAGACACTTGCTGCCCACATGGAGAGAAGAGAACCAACTCCCACAAGTTGCCCTCTGACCTCTATACAGATTGAAGCATACACAAGCCTGAATACATACACATAAACAAGCCCACGGAGATGCTCTCTCATGCATACACACACTCTAAATGTACAAAAAATGCTTCATTAAAAGGAAGTGAATAATCTATACCTTAAATGCTTATAAACTCGATTAACAGTTCACCTACCTACTAACCTACTTAAAAAACATATATTCGGAACTACAACTTCCTGAGGGTGAAGAGAGAAAATGTGAGACTAGTTGCTTCTTATGAGCAAAAGGTAGCAAACCAACAGTACCTTCTGGACAGAGCCCCTGCAGGAGCCTCACATAAGTGCCTACCTTCTTCTCCCTTCTGCTGTCTGTCTGTACAGTTTCTAGCTGGGCTTTGAAGTGTTCATAGTCCAATCTCAGCTGTTCTAATTCTTGTTCTCGTCTTTCCAGGTCTAGAAGAGACAGAAAAATACTCAAGACATGTCAAATCACAGGCAACATTCCTAAAGCCCTGTTTCTAAGCTCTCTTCCAGTTTCAAGCCATACCAGAAATCACTTTTTATTTTGGGGAGCGGGGAGAACAGATGCTGGGGACTGAACCCTGCGCCCATGTACACTAAGCACACTATGGTACTGAACTGCTTTCAATCCTGAAAGAAATTCTGCTGCTACCTTACTTTGTGATTTAAGACCTCATTTACTGCCAGACATGTACTCAAGGCTTCAAGAAAATGAGTTATTTAAAGGACTGAAGGCAGAGCTGAGAAGCCCAACTATCTCATGGCAGAAACGTGTATCTGTGCCATAAAAAGCAGAAGGCATCTCAGGAGTGGCTGGTGCCAGCAGGAGCTGACTCACAAAGCAATCCCACCAACTGGCAGGCTGACTCAATGGGAACAACTGCAGTAGTAGTCAATGGAGGTGGGAAGCCACAGAGAACAAGACAAAAAAAAACAACTACAGTGAGGGGGCAGCGACTACGTAACACTTCCTCTCCACCATAATCATTTAGCTTATGAGTCAAATGGCCAACAAAAAAAAAACATAAAATACCCACATCAATAAATCAATGAAAAATATCAAATTTAAATACTGCAGAAATACTGATGCTTAAAAAATTGAACACTTAATTCGGGTTTTTAAGAGTTTGGTTTCAAGGCTGAGAAGTTAAACTTTTTTTTTTTTTTTTTTTGCCAACATGTACCAAGATCTGAGAACAAGTACTAAGAGTTAATGGCTAACTAAAGCCTAATGTGCATTAGGATTCCAGGACCTAGTGAATAAAGTTTGTGGTTCTGTGGGTGTGTCTGGGCCTCAGAATTTACATCTCTTTTCTTTAAAGTAATTTTTTCTATTAATAATTTCATGAATGTATGTAATATATTTTGCTCATTTCCACTCCCATTATCCATTCTCGTGCCCATTCCACTCCTGATGATGGCCTTATAGTCAAGAAGTCTCTACCTGCTCTCATGTCTTTGTTGCTACTGTTTTGATTGGGTGTTTTTGTCTGTGATCTTCTGAGTTTAAACGGTACTGCATGAACATGGAACATGGGCAACTCACCAGTGACTACACCACTAAGAAAATTACTCCTCTTCCCCTGTAGCCAGGAACTGCCATTAGGGGTAAAGAGAATTTACATTTTGTTTTGTTTTGTTTGTTTTTGAGAGACAGGGTTTCTCTGTGTAACAGCCCTAGCTGTCCTGGAACTGGTTGTTGTAGACCACGTTGGCCTTGAACTCACAGAGATCCACCAGCCTCTACTTCCCCACCCACCCCAAGTGCTGGAATTTCTTTTTTTAAGATTTGTATATAAGAGGCTGGAGAAATGGCTCAGAGGTTAAGAGCACTGGTTGTTCTTCCAGAGGTCCTGAGTTCAATTCCCAGGGACCACATGGTGGCCCATAGTCATCTGTAATGAGATCTGGTACCCTCTTCTGGCCCACGGGGATATGTGCAGGCAGAACATTATATACACAATAAATAGATAAATCTTAAAAAAAAATTATATGTGGGAACTGGAAAGATGGCTCAATGGTTAAGAACACTAGCTGCTCTTGCAGACTTTTGTTCCAAGCACCCACATGGCAGTTTACAACTGACTGGATCTCTGACTCCCTCTTCTGGACGCCTAAGCACCAAGCATGAATGTGGTACACATACATACATTCAGGTACTCACATATTCACATAAAAGGTAAATAAATCTTTTCTTAAACTGTGTGTTTTGCCTGCATGTGTGTGTATGTATGTATGTATGTATGTATGTATGTATGAATGTATGTATGTGTGTGTGTGTATCTGTACCATGTGCATGTCTGAGGCCAATGGAGGACAGAAGAGGGTGTCAGATCCTCTGGAACCTGAGTTACAAACAGTTGTGGGCTACCAGGCATCTAGTCCTCTGCAAAAGCAGCAAGTATTCTCAACCACTGAACCATCTCTACAGCCCAAAGAAGTTACATTTTTAACAAGGTTCCTGGGTGAGACTCTATGAAAATCTCACTTTAAAACCAACTACTTCAAGTCAACAGTCTTAGCTCTCATCACCAGCAACAGGAAAGGAACACAGTGGGTCAGAAAGCTTAGCTACAGCAATGACGGAGTATGAATGGAGGGAAATGGGACTGGGTAAGGGAGCACACCTCTAAGAACATATAGAAGACCACACATTCTCCACAATCAAGGATGGTCAATGAAGTGCTTGTAAAGGAAGGGGAAGGGCTTTGTGTTCCTGAGGTCAGAGAAGGCAAGGGAACACTTACACACACACACAAAAAAAAAAAGGGATTGCCTAGAGCTGCTTGGCAGCCCAACTGTTCTGGAGAAAGGAACAAGGAGAGTGTCTACATTTCCTTGAGACCTTGTCCAAGAAGGAAGATTAGACCCAAAGGTCAAAGACAAGTTGGAGATTGTGAAACTGGGCTGGCAAGCTCCCACTCATATTTCCTAGAAGCATGCAAGCTGCACTGGGCTATTTATTCTCCCCATGTCAGAGCTTTCTTCTCTGACTTTTCAGATATGTCATACTACATGAACTCTACTTTGTCCAATAATCAAGACCATCCAAGAAACCAGTGAGCCAGCTTTATGCCTTAAAAATAACATCACTAAACATGTAACCATGCTGAATGTTACTTACACATATGTACAATATATGACTATGTACATTCATGTAACTATAAAATACATACCTATGACTATAAAATACATAACTAGACAGAAACTAAATAATAAATTATCAATAGTTTAGATTTTTCTCTTTGCAGCTAATTCTTAAAGTCTGCTTCTATTATTGAACTATGCTACTTGAACACACCTGAAAGGAAGAGGGTAATTAAATCTCTACAAATCTTGTCACGTAAAAATATATAGGAATTAATTTTAACCTCTCAATGTTTTCACTATGGTAAAATCTTCTCTGTGTAGTTTTATGTGAATTTTCTACAGGCTTAACAAGGCCCTTGTGACAATATGGAACCCCAGAAAATTCTAAGCCCTTGCTCACAAAACTATGGCACACCAGGGGTATCAGTTATGTCAGGCCGCCGCCTTGTGGCCAGATGAGAGCATTGCTGGCAACCTACCTCAACGGCATGCAATTGTCAGGCCCCAAGTGCCTGTACTACCAGGACCTAACTTCAACCGTTTTGGTAACAGGAGAATGACTGTTGGGAGAGAGGGAGGAGAGATGTCAGTGAAAAGCAGGGTTTCCGGAGCATAGATAAAGGAGTTAAAATTACCCTGGGGTCCCGGCATGTTTATAACAAGTTGTCAGTTTTTCCACTCATGTGAAACAGCTGTCTGAAAAAAAAAATACTTAAATAACCATCACCTTTTTCTTTCCTTCACTCTGGCATGTTCAGAAAAAAAGTGGGTGCAACACTGACACGCTCCATCTTTACTTTGAGCTGAGATTTGGGTGGTGTACTCACTTCCTAGCACGTGGAATAAAGTATGAGTTGGGTAGCTTAGAACAGCTGAAATGTATGTCTCCCAAGGTTGAGGACTTCCAAGCCAAAAGTCCAGGTATTGGCAGGGCCAAGCTCCCTGTGAAACCTCGGCATTAATTGTTCCTTGCCTCTTTCTGCCCAGCATTCTCTAATGGGGGACGCAGTCTTCCCTTTCTAGCCTCCCTATATTTTCACATATACCTCACTCCACAACTGTGATCAAAATTCTCCTGACAAGAATGTCATATTGGATAAGGCCCAACAGGCCTCATTTTACCTCTGTGAAAACCTTTCTTCAAAGTCCCAGGCTAAGGACCTGGGGAAACACCTGACAGATACTTCGGCAACTTGCCAGGGTCCCATCAATTGTCAGTGCTTTGTAGGCATTCCCACTCACATGGTTTTCCAAAGCAAACGACCATCCCCAGAATGACTGATTCTGCTTCCTACAAGGTTCCCAGAAATAAGCGGTTACAGTGGCTCAAGGGCTCCCAAACTAAAGACTCAGATCTGGGTCACTCCCAACCAAAGGGCAGCTGTTAAATATCTCAGGTTCACAGACGAATACAGTGGTCCACAGAAGGTCTACCACGTAACTCACCTGCTGAACACCACTTTAGTCTAGTCAATCCACAGCTAAAGGAAGGGCCAACTGCACAAGCATGACCTGCATTTTCCAACATGCTAAACTGAAATCCATTTGCCTACAAGGCCAAATGCTGTGCAATCTCTCTTTAATAAACTACTTCTAGGATGCCTTTAACTGTCTTCTAAGTCTACTCCTTCATAAGCAGCCTTTGACTTGCCCCACCCTATCCCCCTTGGAAGTCTGGCAGCTTTCTGTGGTAATGTGGCACCTGTGACATACTTCCCCTTACACTGTCATTGTTTATGTTTCTTTTCATTATCCTTGTTCCCTAGGATTACAACTATCTCGTGTAATTGTGGATTCCTTCAAGTAACCAGTAGAGAGCCCTCACAAACCAAGAGCCCAAGCTCACAAGCTGTTCTAGTAGTATTAAAAAACCCCAATCATCTGTCCCATTTTGAATCAATAGACTCTTGGATGTAAGGGCAATGTGGCTTTGGCATTCTGTCCCACTCTTCATAAGGGTTGTCTGTCTCGTTGGGCAGGAATCTCCTTCCTCAACAGTCCGTGTGCATCCCTTCCTAAACCAAACAACCAGTTAAAGAGGACAACCTTACCTGATTAAGAAGGACCATTCTTCTGTCAAGGACACATAAGTAGCTCCCCTGCTAGAACTGCCAAACAAGCTCCCTATCCTCCTAAGGCTCTGCTCCTTGAGGCTGGTTCTGCCCAGGACCCAGGTGCCAGCAGGCAACCCTTTACAGTACTACCCAAAGACAACTGAGGGCACCTGACAGAATACTATAGACCATTGCAGTCATGGACTCTGACCTATTATCTGGATGGTCTGACATGGTTACTGAAAGCCCCAGTGTTCTCGTTCCCTATCTCACTCTCAGTTGCGATCTCAACATGATAAACAGCAGCGCAGGACTTTCTAAACAAGAATGTTCCTCCAATGCTCAATACTCAAGAGTGCTGATAATGTTTTCATGGGAGTATTTTATATTTATGCGCTTTCCAATTTGGCAAACCCCAAGTCAAAGCTATTCCAAGTTCACTATGTGATGGCGCCTTAGTCACAACTGAAGCTGCTGGGCTGAGAATCTGCCAGAATGCGCTCTCCATTACACCAGGAGCACAAGGAGTTTCAAGATTCCTACAATGCAGGTACCATACAAGCCCTTTAGAAGGATTGAGTCATCTCAAATTTGCCACATGCTAGGAGCAGGTCTCAACCTGTGGGTTGCAACCCCTTTGGGGGTTGAACAATCCTTTCACAGGGGTCACCTAAAACCATCAGAAAACATAGATATTGGGCTGGAGAGATGGCTCAGAGGTTAAGAGCATTGCCTGCTCTTCCAAAGTTCAATTCCCAGCAACCACATGGTGGCTCACAACCATCTGTAATGAGGTCTGGTGTCCTCTTCTGGCCTGTAGACATACACACAGACAGAATATTGTATACATAATAAATAAATAAATAAATAAATAAATAAATAAATAAATACATAGATATTTACATTATGACTCACAGCAGTAGCAA